TACTGTTAAGTATGGTATCAACCAGAGGATCAGAGTTGGAATTGAAGTCGGAATTGAAGTCGGAAATAGAATTGAAGTTGGAATGCACTTAGGGTAAGCAAACAATAGAACGCGCTTGATGTTTTCTTGATCTGTTGTGGGTATGTTGCTGGACTCGCATGCCCTTGTCCACGGGGTCCAGAGATACAGTCTGTCGCTGGCAAAATATTTCGGTCGGAGTGTTGAAGAATTTAGTATCAAATGCGGGGCATATGGTCTGGGCTGTGAGTTTAACTGCGAGTGAGTAATGAACAATACATCCTCCGGAAGTGCTTGTTACCTGACGTTACGTGTGCGGATATTTGCTCTAGATATCCCATTGAAGCTGTGTGACCCAGCCAAATTCGTCGCTGTTGTGGACTGCGTGGGGGGGGTCCGGACTTTAGGGGGTAGCTCGGCCCTGAGGGTGCTGTTAGTTTTGAGGAGATCTTCGAAGTCAATGATGAATTTGTGAAGTTCGTGTGGAATTGAGATGCGTCTGAGCAGGAGCTTCTCTTCCGGATAGATACCGCGTGACAGATTGTCGGCCGGGTTGAATTCTGAAGGCACGTAGCGGGTTCGGATGACGATGTTTGTTTCCTCGCATATTGAGTGAATGCACCGAAAGATGTTATTGACCTCTGAGTTCCGACTACGTCCTGCCTACCAGCCCTTGATCACACCTTTGTTGTCGCCGTATACGGCAATATGTTGGCTTCCGCGACAAGTGTTCTGATAAGAAGCTCGAACCCGACCGCTTCTGCCCAGAGGATGTCGCGTTTTCCATGTTTCCAGCCTGGTGACAGGGACCAGGCTCGCCAGTTGCCAATGACAATGGCGATACCCACTCCAGAGCTTGCGTCTGAGTAGGCCTGGACGTCAACCACATTGCACGGCCCCGGGATTGGCCTTTGAAGGTCGGGTTTGCTGAGGGCGGCAAGCCACCATTCCAAGTCGGTGCTTGTGCCCCGCGGTGGGGTATGTGGTATGAAAGGCTTATCATCAAAGATTCCCAGCATAACCTCGAGTTTCGTAATATATGCTCGTCCAGAGGGAATAATGATTGAGGCGTGAAGAAGTTTACCGAAAAGTTTCTGAACCTCCTCCAGGGTGTGCGCGCGCTTCGACAGCCATGTCTGGATTGCCACTTTGTATTTGTTGGCTTTCTCTGCTGTGAGCGTGATTGTGCGGTCGTCAAGATTCCAGATGAAGCCTGTGTAGGGAGCTGCATGGCTGAAGGGTATATCTTTCTTGAGTTTCCAGGGTATGCCAAGTTTTCGGTGACAGAGTTGATGTCGTCAAAATTGTAGCCGAAGTCTGCCTCGTCTCCGTAGCGGTTTGTTGATTGGGATCAGTCGCGGAGGGGGAATCTGAAGTCTTCGTCATACTCCTCAATCCTTCCATCTGGCAATTCTGCTCCGCCCCACCGAAGTCGACCTGCTGACTGGTGTTGTCCGCCCCAATCTTGCAGGTGCTTGGCCAGAGTTGCCTGTTTGTTGTTGTATTCTTCCAGGAACCGTCTGCGGATCCTGAAGAAGCAGGAGTCGTCAATCCATTTTGACAAAGGTCCAATACCTTTAGACCGTAAGATGTCCGCCAGTCCATCTCCCACCAGGCTGTATGCTCCGGCTCCGGAACTCTCCCCAAAGCAGACGCTAGTGTCCGCTGCGAACATGTCCTCGTGTGGGTCTCCCAGATCATCTCGATTACACATGTCGAAGATCTCCTGTGGTAGGCGGACAACGGCGCCGGGCCATTGCGAGGGGTGAGTGGGTATGTTTCGGTAAGCTTCTGATATGTCTCTGATTCCGATTTGGGAGCCCGGAGGTAGCATGGAGATTTTGAAGGAGACTGCATTGAGTATACCCCACGTGCACGGGAAGTCGTCGGAGTTGATGAAGAAGTTAATCGAGAAGAGGCCCTCTTTTGGAGTTCGGGGAAAGGAATAATTTTGAACAAGACACATAGTGCCGTAGGTTTCTAGCATTCCGTCCCTCCATAGAAGAATGTTTGGGTGACTGGGGCTTCCAGTTGACTACAAGATAGAAAGAAGTGTTACAAATAATACTAATTCAGAGAGTGTCAGTTAGCTAGTAAAGGCAAGCAAGAAGCACCATGAAAGAATATTATAAAGATGATAGAATTCAAAGACTGGGATACAGGATAAGATCTACTCTACTTATATGCACTACTACCATGTGTTTACCATACCTAATATAAGAGGTAATAACATCATACTTTAGCCATGGGGGTGGGCACTGAGAGGTTTTTAATGTATATCAAGTGATGTCGGATATGCTCAGGTATCACAGATTTGGTGGTCAACAATGGTTTCTGAGTTTTGGTTCGCTCTAATGGTATTTGAGACCAGGAGAGACTTGAAATATATTTTACCACCAAAATTGATATACATTCTTTTAAAAAAATAGTGAAAAACAAACAACTCTTCGCTATTCAAGGCTTTGATGCTCTTATCATGCTTGTCACACACTTGTCACGCAGCTTGAATCTTGCTAAAACAGTGCTAGAAAAGCATCTGAGCTAGGTAGATACATTAAAATGTATGCTGCCACATCTTAGTTGCTGGTATCTCACCTTATAGTAGACCAAAGCACAGTGTAAGTGCTATGACACGTGTTGTCACATCTGTCACTCTGCCATCACAGCTGTCACTCTGCTGATTAAGTCTTTGGCAGGAAATCAGTTAACCAGAATTTGAGGCTGATTAGACACATATTTAGCCCTAAAAGTTCTTATATATATATAATTTATCCTAAAGCATGCATCTATATTGGGAATAATGATTTAGTGCACATCTAACCAAAACCGATGACCTATCTGGTTACAAGGGTTTTCATTCCTTATGCTCCAATATAGATTTGTACATAGAGACACCATATAGAATACATTCCTGACAACTTTCTTCATTCTCCCAACTATCTACAACTTTAAAACTCCTTCATCTCCAGCCTATTAGCCAAATTAGCTAAGTAACATATATTGACAGGCATATTATAATGTGCTTAGTACTCATCCCCATTAGCCATACCTTTACGTACTGTCCGCCTGTCAGGGGAACCCCCGCTTCCGGCCTCCTTCGGACCCTCCGAACGCATCCGAGGCGCATCCGACCGGCGCCCCCTCGGACGCTCTGACCCACCCCGACCATCGTCCACGGCCTCCTTCGCCCGCACAATCACCGATCCGTCAAGACCCTCCCAACGATCACCTTGGGACAGAGCCTGCGACGCCGCTCAGGCCTTCTGCGCTCTACGTCGGCAGTTACGGACGACCAGTATATAGTTGGCACCCTAGCAGGCGGACCCTTAGAGTTTCTTCTCTTTGGATCCTCCCCTGCTAGGTCGGTCCCTCCGTGTATTTCCCGTAGCTTTTATTCACGCTTTGGATCCTCCCCTGCTAGGCTTTCGTCGGAGTCTCCAGGGTTGCCCTTACAGCAGAAGAAACTCTCTACGGGATTAACCGGTCAAGATTTCCAGGTTTGGCGCTGATTCAGGCTTGGAGTACGAGTCCATACCCCCCTCATCACCGCCCCTGCCACTTGACCCCTGCCACTTGACCCCTCCTCCTCTGCTCTTGTCGTCTTTACGCCCGCTATGTCTACCGGAGCTGCTCCGGACGCTGACGCTCGCATGGACGCACTTGAGGTGAAACTAGACAACCTCACCAATATCCTCACCCACCTTGCTTCCCAGGCTTCCGCTGCCGCACCACCTTCGGTAGCTCCCAAACCGCCTTCGGCATCTCCGAATGCCCCCGACGCGGATGCGTTATTTGGTGACATTACTGTCGCCTCAAAACTGGTCCTACGGCCAAACCCCCCGTTTGCGTTTAATGGAGATCGCAAACGTGGCCGCGCCTTCCTATACGCGGTCAAGACTTACGCCCGGCTTGCCCCGGAGGCCTTCGTGGTCAACGGAGAGCCGAGCGAAGAAAAGGCCGTCCGCTACGCTATGTCCTATATGGCGGAGGGACCTGCCCAGCAGTGGGCAGAGCGTCGTGGAAGTAAAACTCTGTTCCCCTTCCCTCGGTGGAACCTATTCCTCTCCGAGTTTCGCCTTCGGTTCGTTGAGGAGAACGAGCAAGACCTCGCGCTCGCCAAGTTAGAAAGCGCGGGTTATCACATGGGAACGCGGGACGTCTACGGATACACCGACGACTTCGAGGACCTAATGGACCTCGCCGGATTCGAAGACGCGTTGGTTAAGGTGACCAAGTACTGCCATGGACTTGACCCCCTGATCAACAATGGCATCACGTCCTCGAACGACCCCCCAGACCTCCGTGACTATCTGGGCTGGCGCACTCGGGCTTTCCGCCAATACGAAGCCTCAGCTCCTATAGTCAGATCTATGCATAAGATATGGGTGGTGTCCAGGGAATATTATGCATAAGATATGGGTCCAGCTATTTGTAATATATAACAGCCCTTGAATTTATTATTATTAGACTACCTGAGAGGGTTATCAGTGATGGAGTGATGGCATCTAGATATATACCTTGATGTGGAACCATTTTTGATTGGCATCAGTGATTCTGATGGCTATATAGAGATCCATCAATTTCATCCCAATTAGGATGATAATCTCTTTTCCCTATCACACAGTCCCCCTAACTACATACCGGGTCAGTCAGGCCCTTTATTTGTCTTCCTGTGGAAGGTCATTTTACTTCTCAGAACATTATAACTCTATCGAACATATTTTTAATGAAATTTGCTGCATTTCTTGCACCTATTAAAGCTGGAGCTCTTGCGTGCTTCAAGCTTGAATTAGGCCTCATGTTCAGCTAGCTTCTATGACGTTTCTTTTGTCCCCTCATGTCAAAGGCCAGGTTCACTGTTGCTTTTTCTGGACTCATCAGTCTAAGCCTAAGGTCTAACTAATCGCATGAACTTTCATTTACATAGGTTTGCGCAAAGCAATTGGTGGCTAGATGATAGATGTTATCCATGTAATATAATGTCACCAAAAATCAGACCGTCTCGGTCGCACCTTCAGGTTCTTCCTCTCCGCTTCCCACTTTTTCATCCATGCATCCATCTTTACCCTCGACTTCTGACTCCCCACGTTCACTGTCGCGATCATCCTCCGCCAGTCCAGGGCAAGTGCGAAACATGTCAGCTCAAAGAACGACGAGTGTTCCGAGTATGGTATCGGGTATAGCAAAACAGCAGCGCTGGTCGTGCGTGACGGACGGAGATTCGCATGAGTGAATGTCTTTTGCTGTGTCTGAACGATGACAGAAGATATGGTGGGTGACTGTATAGCCCCCGCAGGTGGTGAATAAGTCCAGCCTGTTGGCCGGAACCCGATAACCTTGGTGAACGTCCCCTTGAATCGATCAAGATATGCTTGTAACTTGTCTGCAGCAATTTTGCCGAGCGGAAGGATGTGCACGTCTGCAGCGAGAGGATCGTCCGTTAACATTGCATGGAGATCAGGGTCAGATTGGCAACGCAGGATGCCCATTTTGCGTGCGTCGCAGTAAATCTTCGAGTCGATGGCTTCCGCGACCGCTTTCACAATTCTTTCTTTCCCAACCGAGTACGTCCTGGAACAAATTAAGGAACGATGCAATGGCAAGCAAGTCCGACAAACCCAACAACCATAAGAATGCGCTCCCGCTCTTTCTGTTTACTTTTCACAGGTGAAGTCATGTATTGATCCATCCTGGTCGAACCAGCGCTGTCTGGAGATTTTCCCTCGGAGAGACGCTTCGCCAAATCAGCACAAGCCAAAATAACAAGTGGCTGCGGCGGAAAGGTATACTGGTTGGCAAATAAGCGCAAACATAGGAACACAGAGAAGACATACTCTTGGATCAAGATAGGTCGTGTCGAGGTAAACATGATCTAAACGCTTTCCGTTGACCGCCGGGTGTTCTGTGTGCTGTGGAGACGCTCGGAAATCTCCACAATGTAAGTAGCGGAATGTCCTCGACGAACCAATCCACGGGGATGGAAATGAGCTATCGCCGGCGTGAACAGTTTGCGGCCCTTCAAATAGAAAGAGGCAAGATCCTGGGCAGTGGTTCGCCGAGATGAGAGTAACGTGGACACCGCCGGAATCGGGGACAAGCATTGGAACATCCATAGGAAGAGGGTGGACCCATTGCTTGTCGACCGAGAGGATATGAGTGATGAGATTCGCAGTTTCGTTGGAGCAGTAAATTGGCCCGTGTTTCCATGAGGAAGAAAGGTTCGTGTAGTGATCGGAATGTGCGTGGCTGCGAGTCATCAGCGTAATTGCAAAACGCAACGGTAGACCCACGTTAAGAAGTAACTAGTCACCCCAGGAATAGACCCATACCTAAAAGCATCGACTGCTATAGGCATTCCCTCCATGACCTTGTAAAATGGGGCCTTCCTGCGATTCTTCTTGGTGGCTCGGGAAGCTTCAGCAGCCTCAGCTTCCGTCCAGACAGCATTCTCTTTGCGTATGTTCATCAAGACAGAGAAGGCATCGTTCTTAGACGGAGCGCAGGCATTTGGTATGGGGATGGCGGAGAGGGGCTTAAGTTCGGAGGGGCCTGCCTGTGGCTGTGCTGAGGCGGCATCGAGACAAGAGTTAACATGCGATTGACGATCCTATGCATTTGAGCGATATGTGAGCCAGTACAGGCTGCGACGCACCAGTTCAGACAGGCTGCTAAGCGATAACTGACACAACGGACAAACCAGCGACGCAATGTCGTCGATTGCACTTGGGTCCTCTTCTTCGTTGTCCGCAACTCCGATTTCATCATCTCCCGTTCCCCAATCTTCTTCATAGACAGCAGCTTCGTTGAATTTCGTGCTTTCTTCCGTCGCCTCGTCGTCTGCTGGATGGAGGAGAGATGGGCAAGGAGCGTCGGAAAGGAGAAGAGTCGGTTGTCCGAAGCTCAAAGCCGGCACTGATGGTAAGGAGACGCGTTTCGTGGGTTTGCTCGAGTTTCCCACTATCTCCACGCTAGATCCAGAGAGGAGCTTCCGTTTCTTGGGGAAGACCTCAATATCTGAGTCGGTGTCGGTGTCAGAGTCAATAACAATCACTTCCTTCGGCGCAGACGTAGGCTGTTTCTGCTTGCCGAAGAAGTCGCGCAAAGTTCCTTGTGCTTTTGGCGTCGCTGTTTTGAGGCTTTTCCGTCTGGGCGGCATCGCAGCACTGGAGAACACGGTACGGTGATGCTTGTCACGGAGTGGCACGATCACATGCTTTCAATAACGCACATTGATGCGAAACAATTTCTCAACAAGATACAATATCAAAGAGGTGAAGGATTGGATCTGAAACCCAGCTACCAAAGCAACGAGAATCCCTTCGTCTTCGATAAAGTTCAGGTACAGTGTGCCATAAACGAACCCTCTCGGTCTTGTGGCCGCAGCTGGTACAAGGAAGTCACCCGGAGGAGAGGCTGGGAGCCAAATCCTCCCCATGCAGACATTTTCGACTTTCAAAAGATGCGGGAATGGCATGGCTCGCTCAACCGTCCCTGCTCTCACTACATAGACTCTCGTCGGCCTTGTTGGCGGAGATGGTGACATCAAGGAGTTCAGTCATCGCCCATTTAACAGGAAACAAAACAAGTTTGTTCGTGAAAAGAAACCCAGATGAGTCCTTGGCAGGTATTCTGAGAATTGTCGTTTCAGCTACTACTATTAGTATGGCTAAAAAGAGATAAGATTGGCCTCGGTAAAAATGGTGACAGTGTGACATGTGATTTGTCAGCATCATTTCGCGTTCTCTTCGCAATTGCCGTCGCCGGCCTGTTCGAATAGTAGTGGCCGCTCGAGTCCCTTTGCTTGAATCTCCATAGAAGGCATGTCACCGTCATCCAAGATACGCCTATCAACCAAGTAAAATCAGCGCTATGGATTCAGATGGGTATTTATATCCAAGACCTACTAACGACGAACCAGCCTTGTAAATGGGATTCCTACTTGGACACGACGGCTTGATTTTACGCTCTTGAAATCGAAAGCCTCTTCATCGATTTCATCGTCAACATCGGCCTCACTTTCAAAAACGAATTTTGTGTCGGGGTCTATAAACGGCATAGGTCCAACAGATAGATGGTGTTCCAGCTGCCAAGGACCGTGGAGAGACCCTTCATGCTGATAATCGCCCTCTGTCTCCGGCTTCTCTGTCATTTGTCGTAGGTTGCCAATGCTCTGGATGATGCACAACACCCACCTCTCACCGCCTCTTCGTGCATTCGTTCTCTTCTGCTTTCGCCACCACCACCATGGCTTGGACTGCGCTCTGCATCGTCCTCTTTACATTCTTTCTTACCCCACTTTCATTGGCTCAAATCACTGTCTCGGCTCCGTCAGTTTCGTTTTGGTTGCCTCTTCTATCGAATGTCTGAATGGCACAGGGTGTCTCCCAACACGTGTTCAATTAGAGCGTTGAATTGGGCAAACGGGACGCGTGCGTTCAATTCTTAACCACATTCAGTTCGTACTCAAGCATACACCTCTAGCACCTTTTTCCTTGGTACGTCATCATGTTCAGATCAGACACTCGGCTTATCAGTTTCTGCAGCAAGTCTCCTTCCCAAAGTACTACAACGGAAAAAATCATCTGAAGTAATCAGGTTCATCGCCTCGGTCGCTGGAACTGCTGCCCCTGAACATCTCGGATCCGCAAACACACCACCCGTCAGTTGGAGCATTGACTGGCCTCCAGGTGAGTTAATATTCCTATTTTGTTCCCCTCTTCTCTGATTGCATTATTCAGGTTCTTCAGTCGTTTTTCAAGTAGTCGACGCGACTGGGGCTTCTGGTACTTCGCCCGCCTTCAATATCCTTTCATCATGTGTGCCATTCACATTTTCGGTCCACGATTATGGTACTGACCTCCATTTGTCAGCCACTGGATCTGTCTGTAGTCAAGGTCAAGGAGCTAACACAGAAGGCATTCCTCCTCCAGACGGAAGCACTGGCGGCGAGAGTGGTAGCCCACCTCCCACTAATACAACTTCTACCGGCAAAGGCGGCAGCGGGTCGAATGGGAATAATTCAACCTCTGGCACAACATCAATCCTATCAAACGGCTCTGGCCCAGATTCCGGGGGTAGAGGTAACTCCAAATCGAGTTCAGTCACACCTTCTACGACATCGACGACGACAACAACAACAACGAGCTCGGCACCTGAAACCGACAGTTTCAATCGACTCCCTGTGAGGTGTGTGTGTGCACCGTTTATTGTGCGGAACGACAATGAACATACCCTAGCATTAACACAGGGCCATCGTCTGTAGACACAAATGCACAGTCAACACTTGCAATTTCATCTGACAGAACTTTTGGAGCATCATTGTCTGTGGTTGGCATTCTTCCATCCTCAAGCAACGTGTCTACAAGCAGGTCAGTACTATCAATCCTGCTAGCATCACTTAACTTACGCGTGTAAAGCTCCAATGATAACGCAGAAGATAGTTCTTCCAAGAAAGATGGGCTGATGCCGGGGGCCCTAATTGGTGGGATAGCCGCTGCCGGAGTGTTGTTCTTCATCGGCGTGTTCTTGCTCCTCCAGCGATGTCGCCGTCGCCGTCGCCGAGCAAGGGAGACAATACTGTATCCTTTCGAGGGCATGGGTTGGTTCTTTTTTTGCCTCTACATTGATGATCAGTTGGATGATTTCTCGCCATATAGACTCAGCATCAAACTCGACTCGCGAGATGCGTGGCCGTTCTGGATACCCAGCTAGCACATTCTCCTCTTGGGGCAATCATGGTGACCTGACTAGTGAAGGGCATGAACGCACCCTCTCCCCAACATCAGACGGTCATCATACCTTCAACACCGTCCACGAACAGCAATTCTCGCCTGTGGATGCATCGGAACAGAGTTATGCCGATTATCAACAATCCCAACCTCCACCTATTAGTATTGAGTCACGTTTGGGGTATAATGCACCAACCACCAGCCCTGCTATCAACGTCATTCCAGCTAGTCCTTCACAAGGCTCTCGTCATGGACATGGCACTTCTTCCTCCATCGATCTTGGGACCGGCAGACAGGCACCCAGCGAGCCTGGGTCGCCATCAGCTGCGAACCAACGATTCCGTGGTCCTATTCCCAAGTCTATGATCGACGCCTACCGCGCAGGATTGGTCGGTCCACAAGGGGCCAACCCTTACGCGGGATACTCTGACGTGCCTCCTCCAACTACCACCGCTCAAGTTCAGTTCATTAAGGCGGACGATCCCATTCCGTCGTCAATTGGGCGAGCCCCCTCCTACAAAACACTCGCGAGCGCATTTATGGACCAGCGCCAAGCTGATGCTGATGCACTCGCCCAAACTTCAAACCACTCGTCAACCCGCATCCTTCCTCCTCCATCTGGTCCACTTATAGTGAACTACCCTCCTCCATATACGAGCACTTGATTTTTATCATTCAATCTTCTACACCTCAGTCCACGTGTCCTTTGGCTTCGGTTCTGACAATGATAAGTACGCCTAGTCATGACGAGTAACTTATGTGTAAATCGAGCACTGGCGGCTCAGGCGGTGTGCCGAAGTCGCGCCTATTGTATGCCTTGAAACAAATAAGGGATTTCGCTTGCAGTACCGCCCAACATACCTGTGGCGTTGTTGCTCTCTCTCTTCCCCTTCTGCCATGGGTAGCAGCCCATCGAGATGTTTTCGTGTGCATCTTTGCTGATATATTCAACTGAATAGTGAACAAAAACCACAGAAATAGTCATGGTTGGGCTAGACGATGCAGGGAGGACGAGCATCCTAAATCGCCTCCATCGCCGTGACCTGCCGAAAAATGCGCTGCTGCAGACGCTGCCCACCATCGGCTGCACGCGCGAAACTGTCCAACACCGTGGAAACGAGATAACCATATGGGAGTTTGGCGGGCAGGAGAAGATTCGGCCGATGTGGCGCAGCTGTGTGTCGACTTTCTTCTGAGCCCCTGTCCCAAAGTTTAGATGGGTGATAGATTTATGGCAAGGACACGCGTTTGCCTTCGTCCTCGATGCAAGTGCAACGGACAGGGTCAAGGAGGCGAAGGAAGAGCTGGTAATACTTCTGAAGGAGCGCGAATACACATCGTTCCCGTTTCTGGTCATTGCAAACAAGGTGGACAAAGAAGGGGCGCTTGGGGTAGACGAGATCGCAGAAGCGTTGGATTTGAAGACGGTGTTTGAAAAGCATACAGAGTGGCCGTGGACAATCATGGTATGCGGATCAAAGCTTTTCGGGCTCAAGGCACTGATTTTCGGAGGGCGTTTCTGCGCTCAGTGGCAAGGGGATGGACGAGATGATGGACTGGGTGCGTATTTCTTGTCATCAAGTCACGTTCTCTTGACACTGTTGGATTGTAGTTCGTGGATAATGTTTCGGACGAGCATATTGCGAAGCATCCTCGATAAAACCTTGGAACACATATTTCTGATCGCCGTGATGTGAGATCGGCCTCATCGGACCGATTCTTTGAGCACCACAGGTTCCGGGTTTTGCGCATCGACATACACAGCCGCCTCGTTTATATATCACTTGGTGAAGCCAAGACACGACCATTGACGTGTTTGATTCGAGTGGTGAGTTATAAGTCAGCGATTCTCTGTTTCTCCGATCACAATGGGGGGAACCTTCTCCAAATCGTTTGGTACGACGCGATGAGCTTCCAAGTCTTCCGAAGCTCAGACTACCAATCCCACAGAGATAGTCATGCTTAGTTTGGACGACTCGGGTGCAACAAGCATCCTCAACCGCCTCCATCGACCCAATTTACCCAAGGGTATCCTGCCCAAGACGATACCAACCATCGGAATGAACGTCGAAACGATAACGCACGGCCGGAGCAAAATAACGATATGGGAAATGGGCGGAAACAAGAAGATTCGTCCGCTGTGGAGAAGATGTATGTGCATTTTTGAGGTCAAATTTCCGAATGTTACATGGGGTCAGATTTGTGGAACGGACACGCATTCGCTTTTGTTGTTGACGCGAGTGCACCAGAGCGCTTTGCCGAAGCGAGACAAGAGCTGAATTGGGCGCTCAAGTCGCGGGAATATACGGCCTTCCCGTTTCTCGTAGTGGTAAATAAAATGGACAAGGAGGGAGCAGTGGAAATGTGGCAGGTTGAAGAGGCACTGGATTTGAAGACGTTGTTCGCGGAACACACAGAGTGGCCATGGGGAATTATGGTGAGTTGACTATGATGACTGGGAATAAGCTCATCAAGGTAGGGCGTTTCCGCAATGACAGGCCAAGGGTTAGACCAGATGCTCGAATGGGTGCGAGCATTCGATCCGAGCAAAAGTGACTGCTGACTTGACTTGAGAGCAGTTCACGACGAATGTCTCGTACGCGCATATAGCGAGGCATGACGCGGCCAAAAAGAACGTAGCACAGGCCTGGTGAGTCATGCCTCGGCTTGCGGTCGGTCACAGTCCTGTGTCGTTATCAGCGAAATACTTGTAGATTTTCTGGCAGGTACATCTAACTCATAGTATACAACTGTTCAGCCCTTCTTGAAACCTGGGTACGAGTGAGTTTGTAGGAATTAGGTAGAGAATGGCATAAAGACGTACCCAGCCTACGACGCTCGTAGAAGAGATCCGTTCTACTCGCCCCAAGGTTCACTATCTTGGGACATCCGTCGCGGTCCTTCTCGAGTCGAGTGCATTCCGCGCAGTAGTAGGCGTCAGAGATACCTTTCAGAGCATAAGGAATAAGAACAAGGAGTAGAAGGCTTACGACACACCGGGAGCACCACAAATGATACATCGGCCGCCGTAGTTGCCAAAGTTGCATTCGTCGCAAATGCGGACAAGGGTCTCTGGGCGCACATACGAGTCGCAGACCGGACTAAGAAGGGGTCAATATACGAGCCTAGAAGAAAACCCACAATTACCATTTACCGTCGCATTTTTCGCACAAACGGCCGATTGCTAAAATGGCCCTTGACTTAGACGCAAGGTGCTAGAAGTGGAGGTAGACGCACCGATGCCCGGCTGGCGGCGACACATAATGAGGTCTACTCAATAATCAGCATGAATAGGAGCGATAGAAGGTTTGGTTTTCTGACCTGGATGATGCTTGGACATGGGAGAAAGATTCAAAGAAGGTCGCTAACGGCACGTGCTCTAGAGAAACCTTGTTCTAAAATTTCATCTCATGGACTCGGAAATCTGACTGGCCAACAGAGCGCTTTAACTCTCGTCGTTCTCTACTCCCCTACCACTCATGGAACCGTCTCCACCTCCTTTGGCTCTCGACGCCGACTTTATGTGCCCTGATCCCCTAGAAAAGGCAAGTACCTCATTGCTGCTGTCTTTTTGCTCACGCAAGCTTTGTCACCAGATTTTCCAGCAGGTCGAGGAACAAAATGAGCAGCGGGCGCGCCAGGCTGAGGCTGAAGACAAAGTTGCTGCCAGCCTTGCCCGTGTTGAATCGTCTGAGAACTTAAGAAAGTCTCGACGTCGGGGAAGCATTTCCATCACTCGCTTCGGGCAGGTATGTTTTGTCTTTGAGCCTGGTCAACAAATCATTCCATGTGTTAGCTTGCAACTTCAGATACCCTCTCAGATGGCACAAGTGCTCCTACTACCCCTGCGTTGTCCGACATCGCCGCCAAGTCCCCCTTCTTTCAAGCCCAGCTTCAGGTGCGAACAACGGCGTTTGGCTAGCACCGAAGTCTTATTATAATTTCCAGAGTCAGAATCATTCGCAGGAGTCGTTCGTTTCGGGAACTTCTACCGCCAACCAGCACGAAGATGACCACCATGTTACCCATATACACACTATTGCCCCAAAGCAGAGCATATCACGCGCTGCTGGCAAACTTATTCCCCGCCGACTCAGTCGTGCACGGTCAACGGTGATGCCATCGACCAACAACGGCGAGAACGTTGTCATCTCGGTGGCAGCAGCGACTGTCGAGCTCCCTGAAAATGCCGAACCAGCGGCTACTGTTGTCCATGCGCCTTTGCGCAATCAGGCCTCCCAGTCAAGCATGTCGTCTTCCCTTGCGGGAAAAGGCGGTTCATGGGTCTCCAAGGCTAAAAATTTCACCAAGAAGTTTCGCCGGAGGAGCAAGATGCCGTTGAAAGACGGCTCCACTGCTCCTTGATCCCCCCCCCTTCCCCTCTGGTCGTTACTGTATCATAGCCGCTCTCTAGACACTCTCAGTCCTCTGTTTTGCCTTCGTCTTTACCTTGGGTCCCCATCCTAATAATTTTATGTTCATCTATTAAAACCCAATAACATGGTTCTCAGAGTTAATTACCGTGACTGATAACTCATCTCCACTCACGCTCCAAGCCTCTAATGACCCTTCGGGGGCTACTTTAAAAGTGATAACGCGTCATTCTTGTCGTTTGTAGGGCTTTCGCGTCTATCTGAACGCGAAAAACGCGGTACTCAATATGTGGGTCCCAGAAACAGCAAATGCCCAAACGGGGTTAGCGCACGTCTTACCCTCAAATTATTGTCTCGGACACATAATAAGAATGCCGCCTCGTGTCAAGGCTTGTCTATGTCCTCCCACCATATACCCCGCCATGCCTTTGCTTGTGTGCGTCTTCGTCGATCTTCTCAGTTATAAACAGACTCACAGAAATGTTCAGACCCCGACCACTGCCGCTTATGTTGACGACTTTCCGCCGTGGGCGCCGGTGTTGCAAACGCTGCCGACCGATGTAGATGCTGCTTCGAGTGTCTGGATCGAGCCTCTGGGAGAAGAGAGAGCCCACCGTGTACCGTGGCTGGATGATGTCCTGTTGGAGTTTGACGCGAATCTTTTGGCAACACTTGCACTCGATGAGCAACTGCTTTACTTTCCTGAAGAGGCCTTTGCCGATGTCTGTTGGGCCGCTGCGGTGCTCGAGCCAGAACCAGAATCACCCCGCGCTTCGATTCAAGAGCGATTAATGGCATCGCCTCTTTCGAGTCACGCCGAACTGGAAAACGAGGATAACGATGTTGACGATGTTGACTTTACCCCAGCACCACCATACATGGCCCCCACATTCTCCGCCGTCGACGAGCACAACCGACTTGTTGGAACACCCTTTGCAGAGTCGTTCAGCCGCGATTTCGCTCCACTTCGCCGCAGAGATGTTGTGGTGTGTTTATTGTCCGTGGCCCAATTACCTCGCTGACCGGTACGCTAAAGGCTAAGTACAACGACCCCATGCGGATCGATCCCTTCCCGCGAGACCTGCAGCCCAACACCAGCCTCGACGCCGCCGCCGCATTATTGATGCTCCAACCCTCGCCCCAGTCGTTTTGGCAGGTCAGCGGGACAGTCGGCGTTGGCACGGGCGATGGCATGCCGATTGGCGCTTACCCAATCCGCTCGACCCCCAAAGCGTCTAGCCGCTTCCTCGCTTATCTCACAAGCAGACCGCATTCCCCGCCACCACCGGTGCGCGTGTAGCCCAGTTGACTCGACCTGCCTAATGCGGGCAGCTACTATGGCGCCTGACGCCTTCTTTTCCTTCTAGATTGTACTTGCCTGTGCTGTCCTTCTTGCCTGGAGCATACTTCGACTTGTATCATCCTGACTCACTACCTACAGTATACGCACACTCTCGCTATTCCTCTAACGACCCAACGCCAAAATGTACTACCACTATCTCCGCATGTTTTAATACTCGTGTTGTACCTTGATCTTGGACAGGCCAAATGAGCACTAACGCTGTTGTGATAATCAGAGCCCACACGCAGCTCGAAAACTGTTAAAAAAAGGAAATGACATTGCAGCGTATCCTTGATAGTTCTATTCGTATGGAAAGCAAAATACCAGTAATAGTAGGAGACCAATGATGTTCTCTCTCAAGATAAGTGGAAGCTACCCATTCCTTCTTGCACGGCCACCTTTAGCTTCTCCCGCATGACATTCTTCGAGCTGTACTCTGGAAGTTTCAGGTAGTTGACGCATGTCATCACACTCGGGAGATAGTCATCAGCAGTCAGAGGTGCCTCATGTGGCTTGCGGACAACCGTCAAGGGCGGATTGAGGCCACGGAAACCTAGGGAGGACAGCTATTTAATAACACGCACAAGGGTGTAATACAACTTACCACCGATCGGTAACTTGGGACTGCCGGTAACGAATTGCAGGTAGTTGCGGCGACTAGAAGCATCATACTCTGACAGAATCTCCACAAGATCGCGAATAGCACGGCTTTCTCCGTTAAAGCCGTGGTCAGCTTTGATAGCTTCATTCAGTGCTGCAGAAAGCTTAGTAATCAAATCAGAAAGACTGAATCGTAACACACTTTCAACGGTCCAGTCCTCCTCCGAGTTGCCAAACAGTAAGACCAACTCATCTGCAGAGAAGGCTTGCAGGTCGCTGATGGGGAAGACTTTGCTGAATCCTTCGCGGAAGGCTTTGGCTTGCAACTGCGCGCCAGTGCCAACGATAGCATTAAGCACATCGTGAATGTACTCATCCACATTGTCCGTAGTCACTGCAATATTGTGTCCACCAGGCTAGAAAGAGTGTTGAGAAAACCAGTGAGATTCATAAAGATGGGTACTGACGCGGAGTTCAATGTCGTAACCGGGAAGGGTGAAATCGAGGCCGAGGTCATCGATGTTAACGTTCTCAATGAGCGCTGTCTTCCGTTTTACCTGAAACAATCTGGTTAATACAAGACGTAATGGGCTGCTTGTAGACCAAACCTTGTCGGTTTCCGAATCAGCTTGTACTTGAGCAGACACGATGCCCTGGATTGTCTCCAGCGACTTGGCCATTGAAACATCCACCATCTATGAAGAGTCAGAACGAAGCAGACAAGTAATAAGTTGTTACTTTGAGTGTAGCAATGGTTAGCGGAACTTCCTCGCCAAGAACAATTTTGAGGAATATCTTGTTCAAAGAAAGGTCGATGATTCGCGAGTCAAGCATCGCTTTTGCGACAAATTGGCCGATTACACGGAATATCTGTGTTCGCTTCTGCCCGCCATCTGTTGCAAGGTCCTGAGGACTGAGCGGGGCCGGGTAAAGGCCAGAAGGGTGGTCAACGTAGAGACCGATACCATCCGCGTCAGCATCTCTCCATATCTTCAGATCCTTGCGCGCGAACTCGGCCGAGACGAGTGAGTAAAACTCGAGCGTTGGCCCAAGCCCAGTTCCAACCTCCTCAAAATACTCGACTTCCAGAATCGACGATGAAGATCCGTATAATTCGAACACCTTCATAGCAGACTCGAGAATGTGTTTTCGCGAAATGCGGACTTTCTGTCGCTGCAACCGCCCAAGGAATCCAATTCCATCATCTCGTCTTGTGGTGTCCTGCGCACGAGCTTGCTGACTTTGCCATTTGAGGATCAGACGAGCATATCCAAAGGAGGTCGATTGCAAGAAGCTGTATCGCGTGGCAAATGGGAAAAGGAAAGGGAAGTGTTGCGGCAGATCAAGTGCCCAGTCCGGAAGACAGGAGCTCGCGACAATCATAGGTTCCTCGAGCTGTCGCGTGAGTTTGGCGGTGAGTTTGTTGTTTACGAATGCGGATTCAGGAAGGTGTCGTTTGTCACCAACAAACACCGATCGCTCAGCTTCTAGTGTGTTAAGCTGGTGTAATACGCGAAGGAGCTTGAGAATCTTTGCGTGTGAGGCGTCGTCTGGGAAAGATGAAAGTGGAGGTGTGGATGACCGGCCCCTGTCTGTATCAGCACGTGCTATGGAATAATCAGTGATCGATAAGATAAGATGGTGGACACCTACCATCAGCAGAAGGTGATGGGCCAGATACCTTCTTGAATTTGACCGTATACACGCCTTGCCATATAAGGTTTGGAGGTAATGGACCCGTCTTTTTCCTCATTTCATGTTGGTGCATTGCGCCATAGATGGTCAGATCCAGAGGTAATGGCTCGTCGTCCATGGAGAATTCCAGGTGCCAATCGGTGGGCTTGGCTTTGAGGGCCGATGCGTACGACGCTCGACTCGTTAACCCGCGTGGTGCGGACAATGTCGAGACATCCTTCAGGTTTGGCGTGGCCACCCGTGTACCGTCAGGAGTTTGCGCTTCTATCTTGGAACCATCTGTGACAACGTTTTTAGAAAACCAAGACAGAAAAAAATGGGAATTTGACCAACCTTCTCCAACGGATAGAGTGACGGTTTTATCAGCGATCGAGTTGTCTGGATCCACCTCATCATCGAAAACTTCAGCATCAACCTCATCCTCATCCGAGTAGTCTGCCATTTCCGTGTCCACGATGTTTGAAGGGGCGTCCCCGCTTGATGAAGAAGGAGCATTCTCCCCGACTGAACTCGAACTTGGTACTGGGGCAGAATCGGGAATATTTTCTGCTTCAGTCGTCGTGGTGGCAGTATTTTTCGCACTGAGCCGTTGGCTTCGTCGTCGGGTTACAGTTGAGCCTGAATTTGAAGACGAGCTCTCTGCCGGCGCGGATGATGATGAGGGTGGCGGTGGCGGTGCTGAAGCGGAGGTTGATGTTGAGGGTTCTTCCGTGGCGGGTGTGCGGGGTACAGAAGCGAAACCCGAGCTGGCAAGAGCAGCCAGCATTCCCGAAAGCCGGGAGCCACTCCCCAATAAGCCAGCGACACGTGGACGGAGATAATCATGGAGGGCTTGGAAAGTGGCGATCGCATGGATAGAAACCACGATATTATGCAGATTCTTCGGAACATCGGATTGGTCATCAGCAACTAGACGCAGTCGAAGTTGGCGCGCTAATAGCGACGGGGAACTTCGTTTTGAATCTTTCATATGTTTAGAGAGAGAGAGAGAGAGAGAGAGAGTTGAAAGTATTAGATTAACGCACCGTCGATACCGGGAGTAACTGTCACAACTTCAAACGATTCCATTCGAGTTAAACTCTCCTGCAACTTTTTCACGAATGTGGCGAACGGTGAGTTGGTGCCAAGTTTAGACCGACGGCCAACAAAAGCATCGAGTAATAATTCTTTCCGCCGTAAAAGGTTCACTAGACGGAATCAGTAAAAAAACTAGGTGGGAGTCGAGTTCGACCAACGTTTCCGTTCAGAATCAGTGGCAAACTGCAGTAGCCCGTCCACAACTCCGCTTTGCAGCAGTTCGAAGCTGGACACTGAAGAATGCGGCGACCCAAAAAGTTCTGCCAACTCGTACAGCACTTCTGTGGCATCTTTCTCTGACCCGTCTTGCCCAAGTCGCTCAACCAATTGTTGCAATGAGCCGAAGGAGCCATCTCCCTCGCCATTCTGATCATCCGAAAGATACTTGAATTGAATGACGCGTGCGCGAAGTGTTATTGCGTCTTCGGGTTCCAAAGTTGTTGCGACCTTTTTGACAGGCGGGGGCGGAACATCGGGAGTGTCCGATGCAGCTGGTGATTCCGAATTGTCCTTATCTTTAGATTCCTTCTCTTTGGATTTCACAGACACCAACGGGCGAGCAGCGAGCAGCTCGATTTCGTGAAACACGCCCTCTCTTCGGAATGCAGGCTTGTATGATGTCGTCACTTTGGTAAGAAGCAAATCAACAAGCTGCAAGGCCCCAATAACCAACGTTGGGTGGTCTTTTGACGACAAGATCGACGATGCAAAACTGGCTACGGGAACAAACTTGTTTCCAGGCGTTAGGACGGAGATAGGAACAGAAGAACAAAACCCACTGTTAATACGCGCTTCAGTCCATCTGCATCCAGGAAGCTGACGGCTTTGAGCAAAGCGGTAAGGGTCTTGATACGGATAGATGAAATGACACTGGCTGCGTAGACGTCGATGAGGATGGGGACCATAAGCTCCATGAATCGTCCAACAACCTCCGGCTTTGAGCGCAAAAGGTCCAGACGGTCTGCTGCTGGAGGATTTGGCGTCGACTCCTCAGGCTCAGCTACCATCGTCTCTCCCGATGTTGTGCCATCTTCATTGACAGGTGTGGCAACTGTTGAAGGACCAGGGGCGTAAGATACAATAAGCATTGCTGCACTCAGTGTCGCATGTGTAGCTTGACGAGCAGCAGCCCGTTCAGCCTTGGCTTTGGCCTTGATCAGTCGCCCCAAAGACTTTTCGGTATAAGCTTTGTGATCGAACACACCATCTATCGAACGATTGAGTAGCGGACTTGATCATAAGACTGTCGCAAACCTTTAGGTAATGGTGGCATAAGCTCCGAGATCAAGCTTAATGTTTCCTCGACTTGGTCTTTAGGACGGTGGGCCAAGTTGTCCATAACCGTCATATCCGCCAAACCGCCACCCAAACCCTGACCACCACGCGCATCCCCTTGTTCGTTCGCAGCTGGCCCTGCAGGAGGAAGTACACCGGTGAGGATCTGGTACGTGATGTCGACGATATCTGCTTCGAGTAACGTGACCGTGATCCGAGGACTGGCTCTAGCAGCAGTCGCAATCGCACGAACGAGTAGCGTGTAGGTGTTTGCTGCAACAAGCGGGGCTCCTGCAGGAAGAAGCAATTGATAAACAGCACGGATAAGGGCTATGTCGACAAGGGCCTCCAGATTTTCAATTGATGCCCGATGGTACGAGTCGATGACTCGGATAACGCACAGACAGGCAAACTCAACGAGTCGTTGGTCCGAATAGGATAGGCAGTTGCGGATGATGGGCCAGACCTCTTTGATTTGGCTTGAATGGTCAGGGGAAATGTTGCGGCAACAATTGGCAGCGGCTTGCAACGCTGTTCTCTGTACAGCGATCGAGAAAAAATCAAGGTAGTTAAGGAGAGCAGTGAGGCCATTGTCGCGGACGATAGAGCTCGGAAACTCTTCAGAAATCTTTTCCATAGTCTGGCAAGATATTTCAATGAGAATACGAGGAAAACCAATTCGATAACGCACGCTGAGAGTTTGCTCCGCAAGGTCGATGTAGGAAATTTCGATGAGCTTGCTGCACAAGACGGGAATCGCTCCATGGTAGACGACTGTATGCGCCACACCAGGCAAAGCCTCCATCAGGTTTGCAAGGCAGCGACAGGCAAGAACCTGCGATTCCAAATTATCGTCTCCTTGGAATCCGCCGCCTCCACTCATTGCGAGTGCAGCAGCCAAAGCTGCATCTTCATCCTGCTCAGCTGGTGTCTCTTCCCCGCCATCGTCATCTTCGTCCTCATTCTTCCCGGAACCACCGAGAATCTTCACAAGCTCCTTCACGAATTGCTCCACTTGAAAAGATCCAGCAAGGGTATCCTCCGTGCTAATGCTGAGTAATTCGCTGAGCTCTTGAAGTGTGAGTAGACGCGTTGTTGGGTCGGCAGTTGACTTGATGTTGGTGAGCATTGTCTTGAGACGGGAGGATAGGGATAGCATGTATGAGCCAAATTGGCGATAGTCACCAAAGATGGCCATTGCCGCTGACTCGTCGAGGCCGCCCGGGACAGGCGCATTTGCAGACCCTCCACCGCCACTATCTGGCTCATCCTCCCCATCGTCACTGGAGCCGTTGTCTTCATCGTCGTCATGCGGCAGCTCCTCGTCTGGTGGCTGGTCATGGGCTTCGTTGTCTTGTGCTTCTTGCTCTTGCTTATACTCGACGTCGAGCATTTCAGCGTCTTCGTCTTCGATTCTTGAGGAGCCGGCAACGGCCATAGCTTTGCTTTTCATGGCCGCTTTGCCTTTGGTGGTTGTGCTAGTGGGAGTAATAATTTGTCAATCGGTTTGGAAATGACAGATGTCGCAAAGCCACGCACCGGGACTTTCTGGGCATAGTTGTTGTGGCTTCTTTCGTGCTGGAGCGAAGGGAGTAGGAGTTGGTTCGCGGTCGTTTGGAAGATGATGGGCCCGGCGCGTCTTCGTCGGATGTAGTGGGGTCGGGGGCAGCGCGTTTCTTACCCTTGAGGTCTCGGACTGGTTCGTTAATGGTAAGCGGAGTGGCTACGCTTCTGCGGGCACTAGAAAAGGAAAGAATGAAGATGAGTCGGATGAGTCGACTAAGAAGACTGCTTCGTGCTCACCGTTTCGCTGGGCGGGAGACAGAGCTGTTGTCTGTCGATTCTTTGGCCTTGGATTTAGCCGAGCGTTTAGGCTGGGTTCGGGTTGTTGTGGGTTGCGTAGATGAAGACGGGGAGGGCTCGTCTGCCTTATCCTTGGCCTTCTGCTTTGCAGCCTTGACTCTGGCGCTTGTACGGAGCTCTGGTGGGGAAACCTGCGATTCTGGAGTGCTGGTGCTGGCTTCTGGGGAATTATGTGGAGAAGGGTCCATCAGAGGCGGGACAAAGCCATCGATCCTGGCCGTCGCCGTGCAGGAGGAGTGTTTAGCGGTCACACAGCGTGATTGTAGCTCGTGCTCGAACCACTACTCAAAGACACTCGACAGTCAGTCAATCCGATTTCAAGCCACGAATACCATGAAAGTGTAGTTATATGAACTGGACCAAGTACGCTCAAGGAATACAGTAGTTCCTTTAATTGCCGTGGAAACCCTCATAAGGAGAATAAATGTCATGGATGGATAATATTGCTCAGACGGAATCCAATAATGCATGGCCTTCGTCTTGTGGGTACGCGACGACAAGCACTTGCAGCAGTCAAGCCTTTAAATGGTCGTCTTTGCCGAAAGTCTTGAAGGGTGGCTGTGTCGAGTGATCAATGCTTACAATCGAGTTACGTAATACATGGGATAAAGTTCATTTCAAACCGACGAGGGCGCCTCTGGGCTTGCGCAACGACTCAGCGAAGCCGAGGAAGGTTTCGGCGAGTCGAACCTAAGGCACAGGTTCGGTGGAATACATGAAAACAGGAATTCGAATTACCGTATCAAGAGCCTCTGAATAGGATGATGGAATAGTTGCTCCAGTCGGGGTCAAATCTCGTGGTGCGCTGTTTTGTACTTCCAGAGCAACTTGTGCCATTCTTTGGAGATATCCGCTTTGCGATGCCCGCCCAAAAGAGACTGAGTGGAAGGACAGTGGTTTGCTATTTCATGTGTAAGCTGATTCAGACATCGGGAGAGTATTGAAAGAGTACCCTTTTGCAATGGCTTTCCGACTCAGAGAGCGCATCGTCTCGTCCGCAATATCGCATTCACCGTCCGAGAGAAAAATCACCACCGGAGTCCTTGGCGACTTTAGTCAGTGTTAGAACGTGCGGACATCGTTGCCTGACCTTTCCGTACTCCAATGTGTTTCCATTAACGCTTCAGCCGACGCAATCGCAGCCGTGAAATTAGTACCGCCACCAGTACGATAAGGCAAAACCAGGTTCAAAAGCTTGTCTGGGGTGCTTGTGAAGTCATTTGCGATACAGGTAGAGACTGCATGATCAAATAGAATGACGCTATACGCATCACGACGAACTGGTGCCGTTCCTTGATTTCCCCCGTTCAAAGCTGTATTTCGCGAGAGCCAGAATGCATGAAGTGCAGAATAAACTGCGCCAAGTCTATTGTTTGAGGATTGAGAGATCAAGGTGGTGCTTGGAGTATTTGCGAGAGGACGACGGTCAGTATAGCCCATGGACCCAGAGCTTGACTCGTGTGAGTCACTCCGTAATCTGGGAAGATATTGAAACACACCGGTCTATCACGAAGATGCTATAAAGACGTGAGTCGCTTGCTAGACCTCAAGTGAGGGTTCGTACACATGGAAAGCATTCTGCATGACAGCAGGATTCTTGCAGTTGAAAACATGCCCGTCATTCGACAAGTATCCTAACACCAGTCCCGGACCCTGTGCTGCCGGCGCATGGAATAAAGGCAGAGTGCAATAAGACGGCTTCGGCGCAGTGGTGGCATCACCCGCATGGTCAGTATCTGTCATAGTTTCGATCATTGCTGTGATTGGACTGGAGACCTTTTCTTTACCAGGGCACATCGCGTCACTATGTCGTATGAGAGCCGGCTCGAAGAAACAAGAATGAACGAACCATTTAGTGAAATTCAGTTGATCGGGCCGGGAGTATGGGTCTATGCCAACATCAGAAAATCGTTGGAAACACAAGAACAACAACCTTTGAAGCCTGAAATACAGCGTCAAGGAAAAGAATGAATTGAAATAGGCCGCCATACCGGACCGTCGCCAGAACAGCGAGTGTGAAACCCAATCTTTGGGGCGATCGGGATTCGGGGTCATACGAGTTGTTATGTGTTGAACTTCATTTCCAGTGCACGCGTTAGCATCATCTGCTCGACAATAGTCCATATGTGCATGTCTGCCCATTTCTTGACAGAAAAGGTTGCACAACAAGGGTGAACCTTCATCATTTGCTCCAAATTTGTGCCCGTTGACCTCGACGATGGTCCCATCTGGTCCGTCAACCGCCCATTGCGTTCGCGACATGGATCCATGTCGTGTTTCATGTTCTTGTTGTGGGTGTCCTTCGACTTGTGTCAGTCATACTGCCGATTAGCGATCGTGATATATGTACCTCGAGGAAGAGTACAGAAATAGCCGCAATTCTCACATCGAGTCTCGCAAAAGTGGAATGGAGCTGGATCAGTAGTATGACAATGTGGGCCATTGTGGGCCTTCTGTCCAGGAGGAATATTGAAGACACAGGGTAGCCGTTTGAAGTCTTGGCTCGGTTATTTTTTTGTCCACAAGTGTCGGACAAGCAATGCATACCTTGAGAATACTGTTGTGAATGGCGATTCATCAGTCAATTTTACTGGGTCGAGGGTCATCTACATACCTTCGTATATTGGAAAGTTTCGTGTCGACCCGTGAAGGTAGCTTCTATCGACTGGGGAACTGTCTCTACCTGGCAGATTCCGGATTGACAGAGGGCAGAGCAGGGATGACTTTGACTACAAGTGGAATTGTCAATGGAAGTAATATACGCCTGCAAATATACACACCCGCAGAGATGAACAGCATTCTTGTCGAGACCGTGAAGATGATCAGTCTCAGAGCAAAGTCGTTTGCACAACTCGCATGCAATGGGGCACGCAGAGCTATCGCAAACATGCGCCGTATGAGCTTCGTCGCTGGAAACCGGTATGATTGCTGACCACCAAAAGGTAGGTGCGATTTACCTCGGAATGCTGCAGGTCTTGGTGCAGGTAAAGGTTTTTCCGCCAACCATTTTCACCTTTAGGCGGCAGGGCTACATAGTCCCTTAGAATGTGCCCAGAAAACAGATGGCAGTACAGACCTCTCCACATTTGTGAACGCGGGCTGTGCATTGATGGACATCCCCTTCGTGGGCAGCCGGCTACGAGAAAAATAAGCATATGTCGAGTAAGCATCAGCGAGTGTCCAACCTTCATGCATCGACCAAGGCATCCAGGTTTGTCCTTCAGATGACATGGCTCTCCGCAAAGATGGACATCAACAGCACATCTGATGAAATCAGCTGATGATTGATAGCGGCAAATTTCCTCACATATGACGACCTGGATGGCCAGCACTGACAGAGTTAAATTAGTTTTGTAGCGGCGATGTGTGATATGGCATACGGAAGTCCGCACTGCTTCGAGCGCTCGCCAACAGGATGATCATCGTCTCCAAAGTCGCAAGAACGCGTGCATGCATGATTTGTCCGGCAATCATGACCAAGCGACTGGCTGTGCCGCCCACCCAGTAAGCACTTGAGTTGACAATTAGAACACTGCGTTCCGCAAAGTTCCACATTGGCACGCAAGTCGACCATAGACGTTTCGAAGACGCGACGGAGCATTTCCATGTTGGCCTGGCTCTCAGTGAATCTCGAGAGATTTGATGAGATCCATTTGTGGACATGACTGATCCGCATATCGACCAGAGTGTTGAGATAGTCGACGAGTTGGTTGAACCATTCCGTCTCTTCACGGTAAGGGCGTTGATTGAGTTGATCCCATGAACGTTGGAGAGCCAAGAGGATGCCTTCTCTTTGCGATGCTGAGGACTCTTTATCAGTTAAGAAGAACTGTGCCTCAGTATCAGGCATGTCTATCAGTTCATCGGTGTCAAAGTTCTACGAGAGTGAAGCAAGCGTGTAGGTGTATCACAAATAAGTACCTTGAGAGCCTCCTGCTCAGGATCGACCTCATAGAAGCCAAAGACAAGAGCATTGTTAAGTCCTGTTAGCAGTTTTTGTGCGCGATGAGCGGCCAAGTTCTCTGAAATGACAATAAGATTAGATTGACATGGAATATCACAACTTACGGGACAGAGCACCCCAGTCATTTGCCTAGGAGATTCAATCAGCGAGATATAGTTGATGACACAGAGCTACCTTGAGTTTAGCCATCAAAGTTTTCAGCGTGTGGAGAAATTCGCCAGCAGTCCGATGGGTCACCTCCTGCTTGTCCAAAAGACGCTTGATGACCGGGAAAAGAGCATAAAACTGTTTGGATTCAATTACTGGCCATGGAAGTATGTTTAATTGCCCGGCATGAAGGCGTGAAATAAAGTTGGCATCTTGCTCATCCTCGACGATTTTCTATGAAAAAGATAAGATAAGATTACAAGCATGTGTATTGGAGATACCTGAAATTTGGTGGAAAACCTAAAAGATAGTCAAGTGAGTCTATACTCAATTTGTACTGCTCACTCTTTGACGATTTCCTTCTTATCTGTCTCAACAACATCCTGTAATTCCGATCAGATGAACCATTGGCAACGGTTCAACTTCACTTGCTTTAATGATGATCGTCAGTGTTGATTTGAACAAGGTCGGGTTCGCAGCTGGATCCAACACCGTAGATGAAGACTGGAAGGATTGGAAGAGGCCAGTGATACTACGTGACATGGCAAAATTGTTGCGGAAAAGGACCTAATCACTGGCAGTCAAGCGTATGTATATACATCAATGATTCAACAAGGACCTACCAAGTTGGAGAGAGCAGTGTTGAACAACACAAGGAGAGTGTCTTCCTGGGCAGATCGCTCGATACTGTGCACACCTGCAAAGATTTAGAGATAAGCACTGAATGAGATGACAATCTACCTTCAAAATCCAGAGCAACGACAAGAGTGTCAGTGGTTGGTGTGACTGACATCCAAACACCCTCTATAGATTAATAAGGTTGGTGTGAAACAGAGTTGGATAGCAACGGAGAACTAACCAGTGGTCCGCATAGCACTGCCAGCAAAGGAGGTGTCCGCCAAATGGTTCAGTGTATAACTTTTACCAACGGATTGTTCTCCTGTTGAGTGACGGTGAGCAGCGAAACCAGAAACTAACAGTCTACGTACCCATTGAAGAGACTACTTTCACAGGCTGCGGGATTTGAGCCACGACAATGGACAAGTATCAACATCACTGACCTTGGAGGTCATGTACGACTGGAAAACACTCTCAAACCAGCCGAAACTGAGGCTATCCACAATTTGACCAACTTCGGCACCGAGAAGAGATCGCTCCAGTGCGGCAGAGACGACACCATCCTTCAACGGGAGAAAGCGATTATCACGAGTCAACGCAATTTGGATCGGAATGAGGCACAGCAAGTCGACAATCCACTCGCCGCCCTTGTAGATCGTTATTTCGTCGGCCATCAATGTTGACAGCGTATTGTAGAACCCAAGCGGCGAAAGCGAAGCCACTTCAAGGCTCTTGAGAATATCGCCAGTGGGTTTGCGTGTTCGTTGCTCAAACCCGTAGATGAGGTCGTTAAAATGAGGAGCGTACTTGTTATGGTCTCGATCCGCGATAAACAGCAGCTTCCGAGGACGACGAGTCCCTGATGAAACAGTTTGACGTTGGACTGCTGCGAAAACGGGAAATCTAGTCCAAACTTCTGAATGTACTTCGATCAAGCAGTTGTTTGCGGTTTCATTTTGCTCAGCCCTGAAGCTTGCTTTTGTGCCAGTCTCTTTGAACATGAACTCAGTAACCTGAAATGGATTATTATTTGCAGGCAGGAATATTATAGGACCACTACCTTCTTCTTAATCTCAAGAACAACCGAACAGCAAACTCGACTTTCGACATCAATCCCAGCAAGGTGAACATTTCTACGATTGACCATCGACGTGACGATTGCAGCAGTAGATGAGTAGTCAATTCCGTCGAGATATTTGCCTTCTGAAGAACCAAAGGTATCCCAGTGGAAGCTTCGATAGGTCAGTTTGTCGCTATCACGAGCAGAGACAATGAGGCAGGCGCCATCAGGAGAGGATTGTAGAGTTTCTGGGAGTTGATCTAGCAGTAATGTGGCAGGTCTATCTCCGTTTAGCATCGACACCAGTAGATTAAACAAGATGCTCTGACCTAAACTGCTGAGTAATCAAAGAAAATATCCGTGCCTGTCGACTGTTGTCAACAAGCAACAGTTCCTCAGAGCCAGCAATGAAACAGCATTTGTGAAGGGCCGTGCCAGCAGGGTACCATGGTCGAAGGTCAAGTGCACTTGCCCAAGCTTGCAGGCCAGCAAAAGTTTCGTCAAATTGATATATGTGGAGAAGCAACTGAAGTAGGTGTTATTATCATCAATGAGGCAACACCAGAAAAACGAACGTTCGATGCAGAACAGACGGACAACATCTTCTTCTGCTCGTCGTAGGCAACTATGACATCCCGACCGATTTTGTCTCGATAAATGGCCCGTTTTGCCCCGTCGCGCCCACGAGAAATGGCGTGGTGAATAGCAGACAACGGCTCGTGATAGATGCACAGTCGCTCAGTGTCAACGAGAACCATGAGCAATCGCTCTTTCTCAAGTAGTTGAGCGTGGCTATCTGGGTTGAGTAGTAGATAAAATGCCAATAAGAAATACATACAGAATGCGGCTGTCCAAGCTGAGGTCGAAAGTTTGCACATCGCGGGACTGGTGTGGTGTTGGAACAAAGTTTGATTCTAGCTGCGCCTTGTGCTGGTCATCCGTAGTCAACTGCAGAGGGTACAATTTGCAGCGAAGGACCGGTTTCATCAGGGTTCTGAATGTACCACTTATTTTGAACAAAGGTGCAGCTATCCTGATTTAGGGAGCGCATTAACATGAAGTCAATCTTACTGAATCTCTGGCCAATGCGTTCAATTTTGTCGACAATCAAAGTCGGACTATGAATAAAGTCAATGGAAGGGCGAGGTGAATCCAGAAATGCATACTCGCTATTGGGACAAATATTCTCGTACTCCTCGGCAAAGTGCTTCCTTGAATCTTTGAGCAGTTCATCTTTGAGGACAGCGGTCTTGCGTTGAATTTGCTTTTTGATTGCGGTTTCCTGAACGAACGCGGCACGACCAAGGCAGTGGCGAACGGTGGCAGGGAGTACCATCGGAAGGTATTCTTGTGCGATGTCAAGAGCTTTGACGCAAAGCGAGCGTAATAGAGGTTCCTTGTTGGATATGTCGTCTAGCGAGGCCAAGAATACACCATCCGCCAGCCTTTTCTTCCGTGACTGGATACGGTCGCGAACTTTTCGTTCCGTGCTTCTATGATCTTCCGGCGACGAAAAGAGAGAAGCAACGAATTTATAGAGCGGGCTGCTTTTCTCATCTTTGCCGTCCTTCACCTTCAGACCGTACAACTCAGTCAAGCCTTCGAAACCGTTTTGAGTGACGTGTTCAACAATTCGTTCTCGTTCTGGAATGGGCAACTCCGGTCGTTCCGCAAAGAGACATTCGAGTCCTAGAATCTGGTCCACAATGGCGCGAAAATCCACAGATTTCAAATGCTCGAATTTTTCCGAAGTCCTTGCGCCGCTTGTGCCAAATTTGCCAATCTCATCTTTGATGTCTGGGTGAACCGCAATCAAACTGGTAAACTGAGCTGTTGTGCATTAAGAACATGGTTGCGTTAGAATATGCACAAAACACACTTCGGCGCAGTTCGAGTTCGTCCTGAGATACGGGAGAGAGAGTTGTTCTTGGGATGGTTCTGTGCAGCAAATGAGTGGGTAGCCCGCCAACAATGTATTCACGAACGGGAACATCTGTGTTAGCTGGTCAACAACCGCTTCTTTGATCACGGGTTCTAGCGTGGGTTCGTCATCCCGCAACTTTTTGAGCGCGTCTTGTAGTTCTTGCTTAGACCCATCGTCAATGGCGCGGACGCCGTCATCATTTCGAGTCTTCCATTCACCAAACAGGTTCCCCGCGCGAGACTGTAACCCGTGTTCCCCAAGAATTTGCACCCCCTCGTCGCTAACTTTCGAAGTAAATCGTATAGTACCAGTAGAGCTGAAAACATTTCAAGTCATTGACCAAGCGATATAGTGGGCTTACAGTAAGCTTCGCAGTTGAGTAGGATTGTAGGATTCGTCACGGATTTGGCGCTCTTTATACTCTCCAGGAAGGAACGATCTCGTCAGAATCGCCATAGCTGTCTCACCAGAGATAAGCATGGGTTGAAGATCGGCCTCCTCGACGGGGCAATCGTTCGGGCGAGGGCTGGCTGCAAGTACCGGAATATTTATCTATGCCATTCAAGACTTGATCGATAGAGAGATCGTGACAAAGCGCGAACCTGAAAGCCGGGGCGTATGGTGACATCCTCTTCCTGTTCGTTGGTCTTGGCCACCGCAAATGTGAATAGTCGATCGGTTGACTCATCCTCGAGGTCCATCTCCATCACTTCCGACTCATTTGAGTCGTGCCAAACAATGGACTGGGCATGCTCAGGAGAGACCAAACAAACAACTTGGTCAGATATCTTGGTCAGATATCTATATACCCATCAGTCGCCATCATAACTCATCACTAACATAATCACCGCAAGAAAGTAACGCGATTGCGTCGAACAGAAGAAATGGCGTCGTCATCCCAGGTCGTGGGCTCGGGCCAGTAAATGACAAAAAGTTGTTCACTGTCGGGGCGGGCTGCATGGGATGTATGAAGGACGTAAAGACCAGAGCGTAGATGGGGTGTTGTGTCGCTTTGAGGACGAAGTAAGGCGCGTGATCTGATAAAGAGTCAACTTCCAGCTCAGATATTGACAGTGAACGCACATTTCTTCGTCAATGGCTCCAACCGTAATCATGAAGTCCACAATTTCAGATTGACTGCCATATATACCGAGCGGCTTAATGAGAATTTTGTCCAAGGCCTTGAAGTTGACCTAGAGAACTTGATGACGACAGAACGCTGCAAGGTCGATGGGGAATCCAACCTTGATCATCGAGGAATAAGCGCCAGGCGACAATTCGTTGATCAATTCTTTGAGCGACTCCTGAGCAATGATGATTTTGCTGACCAGTCCACCGCTGAGATGGTTGAAAATTGAATCAGGGAAAAACATCCACCGAAAGACAGCGCACCTTGCTGACTCGCTAATGAGGTCCAACAGACGAAACATTCCATTTATCTTTGGAAGTAAGTCCAAGTCTGGCTGGAATTGCGGAGGCTTGAGATGGGATTAATTGACGCCAGCATTCCTTCCACCGTGATAACGTACATCGACATCCATCATATCGTCCAAGATTGGCGTGCCAGAGGCATTCGTATTCATGGTCGGCGCAGTAATCGGCGTACGGGTCGCGGTTTTTTTGTCAGCCAAAGAGGGAGATATGGGGGATGTGTTGCTGGAGTTTTGGCCTTTGTTGTGGTCGTTTCCTGAGTTGTCGTGACGAGCTGTCACATCGGAGTCAGGCGAACCCTCTGCAAAGCTTTTAGTTGGTGGCGAACATGCACAAATAACTTACCTGAGTTGGAAGGCTCGACAGGAGAATAGTATGTGTCGCTTTCGTCTGTCCCGATATGAGGTTCTCTTTGCGAAGTTCATGACTTGGGTTAAACTTGCCGCTTTCCTCGTCAGACCATTGCTCAGTCACAATGAGTGGAATGTTGGCCTTGGGCTTGAGCGGCATTCTGTCGAGTGAGTTGCGGAGATGAGGGTAAGAGGTATCGACACCCACAGTCCACGAGGCTGAAGGCTTATCGATAATTGCACAAAGAGACGCAGTTTTGGGTAATGCACGCGTCTTTTGCTATTTGACACACGTAAAAATTCGTGGGCGCTTAGATTTGGGGTGCGTCTTGACTCCCTGTAGGCTCACATTGCCGCTGATTATTGTTTCCGAAGGCATGTTTCTGAGCTAAATCTGGGACCATCTCCTCGACTGGCCACGGAGCTTCGATACACACCAGCTCTGGAGAGCAAAATGGATTTCGAATATTGACGGATATGCAACATGTGTAAAGATGTGCTGATGGTCACCGAGGCAAGATTTGAGAGAAAGAACCCTCAGAAGGACTGAGAAGGTCATAGCGAGACGGAAGAAAGAGGTTTGGCATATTCCCACAACCAACACTGACAAGAATCAGGTTTCCCCGTGGCACCAGTTAACACTTAGGCTATCGAGGGTGCTCGGAGGATGGAATCGAGACCAAGATCGCATTCAGATCAATAATATTGGCAACGACAAGATGTTATTCCAGATAGTTTACGGTATAACTGCGACTCCCAGACTTGGACTCAAGCTCCAACCCTTTGCAAATGTCGTGACTACCGTCTTGGAGCAAATTCTTGATCACAATGGCGAAGAGAAAGTAACGCCCAGTTGCAACTGAGATGGCGCATGTGTACAGGAAAACTTGAAGAGCAATCTGAGCTCCTGCGAACGCTCCCAGTGTTTCAAGGTTGGTCAGATGGCTGATAGATGTCGAGGCGATGACGTTCAAAAGGCGGATGTAGGGCAGAGAGCATAGATTTGACCAAGACCATGTGTCGAATTTGTGCAAGTAGAGTGGACGAGTTGAGGCATTCAGTTTGAGATCACGACGAGTGGAAGCAAGCGCGCAACCGAGGGAGTAGTGAAGGGCCCGAATGAGCTGGCGGAGCGTCGACGAGAAACGTGTCAAGTCCTGCGTGAAGTGTTCTATTCATGTTTTCTTCGGCGGAGAGAGAGATGGAACGGCGGCAAGGACATATAAGGCAATACGTCAGGAACGACGTCATTTGTTGGGGAATCGATTGGCAGACAGTTTCTCACCTGTTCTCTTTGCTGCTAAACAGTCTCCGCCGAACGGATGGCAGGCAAAGAGAGTCTGCTGCCTGTTCACCGTCCTGCGGCCCGACAACTCGCGTTCAGCTCCCGTGTAGACCGTGCTCCGAGTTCCAGCACTCGACATTGGGGTCAGTAGCTACTTTTTTGAAACTTTTCATGATCTGAAATTTCGAGGAATAGTGGGACGGTTGAAGGAAAGCCCAATTGGAGAGCCTCTGGTCAAATTATGGAGGGTCTGCACCACAACACTCGACGGATCATTGTCCGAGACGTTCAAACTTGTGAGCTCGGATGATAGCGATGGTGTTTCGTCGGCCAGCGGGAAGAGCAAACCGACGGCGCTGGCGAGTGACGGAGACTCCTTCTTAGACGCGGTAGTGGTTGACCACGATGACTCCGACGAACGACCAGTTCCTCAGCAGCAGTCCGACAGCTCTCAGCAAGGTGGAAGTAACAGTACGGCTCAACATGCCAACAAGCTTTACTCGAGCGGCCTTGACTATGAGAGTCATTATACTGGTCAGTTACATAGCGGCACAACGCCCGACCGTTAACCACCATGTAGGAGGGCTCAAGTCCTGGATTGTGGACCGCTTATGGCCACGCGTGGTCGAATTTTTCGAACCCAGATTCCTCGATCACGAGGAGGAATTCCAGACACTTTCGTGGCATTCTAACAAATTCATGGCTTTGTGCGTGTCTTCCCTACCCCCATAGTCCTAATATTCATCTTGCATGTAGCTGTGCGACCCTTTGTAAGGCGTTCAAGTATGAGCGGGCTTCACTAATATATTCCAGTCCTCGTTCTTAATTGGGCATTGTATCTTGCCTTGAACAGCCAGAGTAATGCAGCATCGACTTACGGACAGGTGCCCCGTCTTGTTTTTTCTATGAATTGACCCTAAACCTCTCCAAGATTGTCTATTGGGCTGGCTTTACATTCGTCACACTACCTACTCCATTTATGATTGCGCTCGACCTGCCTAAACGACAACCCGTCCTGTTTCAAGCCTGGTTCTGCGTGGCTGTATGGTACTGCGCGTTCTCCGAGCTCATCCAAATGAAAGTGTGTCACTTTTTCCTGGTCAATCGCGATTGTGCCAAGAAAGATTTTTTGGCTATGAGTAAGTGGTTTCGTTCATTTTCACTGATTCTGACGATGGCAGGTTACTACTCAACCGGTTTGCCTGCTCTCATGATGTTTATCGTATCGAAGCGCTTGTACAACGCCGTGGCTCAACTAGTTTTTTTCATTCTACTGGTCGCCCTCATTATTCCAGATCAAGGCATCTACGCACGGAATGTGGTCAGCTTCGTATGTCGTCGCATTTCTGTCGTGCTGCCTCCCAATCAGTATTTCAGGTGGTCTTTTCAATTTTCATCCAAGCTCTTCACTACTCCATCGAAGATGTCAGTGCATAGCTTACTTGAGTGCTCGTCCTGATCGTCTTCGTAGGCCCAGAGGAAGATGTTCTTACTCGCGTTACAATTGAAGCAGGCGTATCGCTCTAAGCACAAGGCACGACAGGCGGAATCTAAAGCGAGTTTTATGAAGCGGCGATTCGCCAACTACATCTTTCACGAGGTCCGAGTCCCACTGAACAACGCTGGTATGCGATCTGTCTACGTCCTGTTCTCTTATAATTACATGGTGATCACCTAGTTCTCGCATTTCAACTACTGCAATCAGGAAGCGCTTTCAAAGAGGAGTTCAACAAGAGCACGGAGATCTACGCACTTGAACAAGGTTTGAAGATGATGAAAACAGTAAGCTTATTTATCTCACTCTCGAAGCATAGGCTCAGATGTTTTCAGGTTCTTAATGATGTTCTTGACTTCGAGAGTACGATCCCCCGTTGACCATCTGTTAGCGCTCGTCTGACTATTCGTTCAGAAATGGATTCCGGCCATTTCGAAACCATTGCTAAAGTCATTGATATCCATACCTCCCTTCGCCACACCAACTCATATCCTTGCAGCCGTTCCCGCTTCACCATTCAATCCGCGCAATTCTTGACCAAGTTGAAGTTCAAACCCACGCAAGAGACCTCATCCTAGAACGCAGATTGGACGAGCGTATCGATGAAGCAGCACTCACCGTTGAGCCCCGTCGATCATTGGAGCCCGAAGGCCTCTGGGTACTGGGCAGTGAGCTGAGATTGCACCAGGTCCTCACAAATCTGGCGACAAATGCAGTCAAATACACCCCGGAAGGTGGCGGCAGCATCCGTATTTCCACTGAATTCCTGGGCATAACGACACGCGAGGAACTGCCAGAAATGCCTCCCGACATGGAAATTGACGAAAAATACCCGCCCCAGAATGGACAACATTTGTTGACTGAGAAAGATGTCGAAGCCGCTGCTAATCAATCTGTCCCGGTCGTAACCAGAAGTGACAGCGGGACAATCCTGACGCAGTGCTTGACCTTCCGATTAGTCGTGCATGACTCTGGGCCAGGCATCAAACCCTCCGATCTCGTCGAGGATCGTTTGTTCCAGCCGTTCGTACAGGTCCGTGTTCTTCCTTGTCAGTAACCCACGTTTAACCGGTTTTCAGACAACCGTTGGGCAATCGACAGGCTCAGGAACTGGGTTAGGCCTAGCCATCGTCAAGCAGATCATTCGACTGAGTGGTGGACGTTTGGGTGTCACATCTCGACGGGGTGAAGGCTCCAAGTTCTGGATAGAACTGACCTACCCACTTGCATCCCCTGCAGAAGTTCAAGCTGCTAGAGAAGCCAACACATTGCACACATCAAGGACGTACACCGAACTGAAAGAGAAAGTGATAACGCTCTCATCGACGGATTCTCTGGGTCAAATGGATTCCGTGCAGCTCGATAATTCTGACGCGCCAAACACACCGGTGACTCCCCATCCATCAATGCCGCCAAGATATGAGAGCAACCCCACCGATACACCACAATCCGAACGGGAAACCCTAACCCCAACGTTAACGCCGTCTCTGCCTCCTGCAGCGCCACTTACGCCGATAATTCCATCATCTAGCGAGCCGCAGATCGTTGCACTTGTTGTGGATGATGATGCTATCACCCGCGTCTTATCTTCCAAGTATTTCAGCTCACTTTTACCTTGCTGCAAGGCTTATATTTCCTGCAGATTACTGACAAAACTGGGCTGCATTGTCCATACGGCGAAAGACGGGCAAGAATGTGTCGATTTGGTCCTGGGTTCGCCACCACACACCTATGATCTCATTTGCCTTGACAATTTCATGCCCGAGATGACGGGAGAGGAGGCTGTCAAGGAGATCCGCATGAAAGACCGCGACGATTATATTGTTGGCTGCACAGGGAATGCTTTGACGGAAGACCAAGACAGTTATCGAGAAGCGGGCGCTGACGATGTGGTTGTCAAACCCGTCATGATTCAGTATGTGCTTTCCTCTGAAGCGACGTGGTTTTCCTGAACAAGGTCGCAGCGATTTCAAGAGACTTATTCAGACAGCTCAACAGAGGCGGTTAGATCGACAAAATGCTGCAGCCACCATATCATCATTGCATTTCAGCTCGCCGTCCTCATGATACCCCCCTCACTCGACGCTCTTTACCCCCCCAAAAAAACTCTTCGCATCTTATCGCTATCAACTAATCTAAGCACGCATCAAGCATATATCATTCATCTTATCTAGGGCTGATGGGGAAGGATGGTCTTCTGCAATTTGTATGTATATTTCAGCCATTTCTTTTCGATGTAGCACACACGGATTAGCACCTACAACATTTGTAACCCCCTTCGCATATGCAGATGACGTCCAGGCTGATTAATCGCGAGGCACGTGGTCGTGACGCGACGTGTCCGACTTGTAGAGATAAGTAGTGCTCTTTGGCAAGGTTTAGCCGTGTCGACAAGAGATAACTTGGTTGCGGGCGTTCAAGATTAGTTCTCAAGTACCACAAACACCGTGGTATAGCTGATTCAGAAGTAGGTTCATGTGGTGTATTTACGATGGAGTTGCTGTATGAAGAGTTGGATGGCACCAGTCCTCTCGATTTCCTCGTACTTTTCCTTGAATGCTCGAAGGCGGTCACAACATCGGTCACACATCATGTCGTTTGATTGAAGTTTCTCAGCGACGAGCATGGCTCATTTCCCGTATACTCACCTCTTTCTTACATCTTCTATCGCCGTCGTCATTGCTGGTGAACACATCCAAACTCTCGACGTAAGGTCGGAACAACTTTTTCGAACGAGGCGCGTCTCCCTCATCTCTATCCAGAACAGGAAGTCTTATTTCCACGACAGTCGGAAGGGATGGCTCAAATGCAGGTCCTATACGCGCCGCCGCCATTGATTCAGACGGTCGGCATCTCGTGACGGTCGGAGACGATAAGCAACTGAAGGTATGGCGTCTGGACGGTCTAGAGCTGTTCAACCAACGGTCCGTGCTTTCCAGGAGCCGGAGATCGAATTGATCCTCCCTGCAGGGAGCTTCCGAAACGACCCACAGCGTTGGGGTTCACAAAAAACGGGGACGCCATCTTGGCTGCAGACAAATTTGGAGACATCTTCAGGTGTGTTCCCTAAGCAAAACTCGTCACAAGAAATACATCTTATCGTCCAGTTACCCGCTGGAGTATGTCCCTCCAACTGCTCCAATCGAAGACAAGAGTGCTCTCTATTCCTCGCATGAAAACCCCTCTGGCGGCCGACTGATTCTCGGTCACGTATCCCTTCTCAACGCCTTCGTATTAAGCGACGACGAGAAATACATCATTACCGCTGACCGGGACGAGCACGTACGTGTCAGTTGGTACCCTCAAGGCTATACTATCGAAAGTTACTGTCTGGGACACACGCAGTTCGTTTTTTCCCTTCTCAAAACAAAAACAGAGCTCTCACTGATGCGTCGGTGCAGATTTGTCTCTGCCATCCATATTCCGTGCTTTGCCCCGGACGTCCTGATTTCTGGGGGTGGAGACCCGGTGCTCAAAGTTTGGGACTGGTTAGGTGGTCGGTTTGAACGCGACATCCCGATTTCAGACGCTGTGGAGCCGTACATCAGAGTAAAACCCGCACGCAAGACACCTCGACGGTTTGGAGATCAATGGGATGGAAGGGACGATGGAAAGAAAGGAAAGAAGAGGAGAAAAGGCAAGGGCAAGAGCAAAGGAGGAGCCGATGCCAATGAGCAGCCAGAACCATTGTCCGTTATCGCTGCTGAAGAGGTGGAAGGGCTCTCAGTCGAGACGCAACCAGATGAAGACCAAAAAATCCTTGCGATCTCATGCATCAAGTCTCGAGGTAGAGACGTCCTCTTTAGCGCTTATGGGTGGGCTTCCTCCAACACCTATAAAATCAAGATTAACCGTAATCCAGCGCAACCGCCTTGTTTTCCTTTACCTTCCCGGAATCCAACTCAGCTCCTCACATATGCGCATTGGAGCTTGAAAAACCAGTATTGGACTTCAACGTTCAAGACGACGGAGTCATTTGGATCTGCGTGGATGGTGGTTGGTCGCCAACAGGCCACGAGTCCGACAGACCCGGCAACATGGTTCGTTTAGCGAAGATTGATGCAGGGGCCAAGGTTCACTACGACAGTAATTATCCTGAGCATTATCTGATATCTTTCTCAGCTTTTCGAAATCACTGCTCAACCGCCTCCCTTACTTACAGCGCTCAACTCGACAACCCTCCTTCCAGGTTCGATTTTCGTGTTCTTCCTGTTTGCTCCGTGTTGAGTTCCGCTTTAGCAACTCAATCAGAGCTTACTGCTCTCGATCTATACGGGTCGCTGACTGCCCTACCTAAAGGCCGCGATAGCGAACACGATCCGATGGACCGTGAAGCTATCGAGGGTCACACAGTCGAGTTGAGTAAAAAAGAATTGGGGCGGCTGAAGACGAAAAAAGCAGTTGCAAAGCAACAGGGCAATGACGATGAAGAGGGAAGGGCGGATGTAGAAATGACGAATGTATCATCGACCTAAGAGCAACATGCTATCGATTTAGCAATAATTATTAATAACCCCGACATGAAGAGGGATTAGAGATTTGGAGGCATCCATTCCGATTTGGGCCGACTTCCCAGTCCACCCTAACACACCGTTGAGAACTGAGGTCATTCAAGAACAAAAGACGAACCTTGGCATATACGCTCTCGATTACTTCCATGTTTGCAATCGAGTCCTCTTTTGTCACCCAAGTATGCACAGGCCGACCGCGAACTTTGTTAACGAAAGCCTCGAGTTGATAGCGATAGGTCGACCACCAAGGCTGACCAAGGTTTGGGAAGGTATACACCTTCTCGACGCGTTGTTTGCCCTTGATTGGCACAACCGTGATAGAATGGTACACACTAGGCATGAGGTAGTTCATGATCCTGATTTCGCCCTGCTCGCATCTAATTTTGGCGGAGAAATCAGGCAGCTTGGGAATCAGACCGAATCTCGCAGGCGTTGCGAGGTCGCAGACGATGGAAGAGCGCATTCCGCCGGCAAACGTGAAAGTCGCTTCGGTACGGCGATCGACAAGCTCGGAATTCTTGCCAGATGCCTTTGTGACCAGCTGGTGGGAGACGGAGGAAACAGAGCTGGGTTCCTCCCCACCGAAAAATCGCATTGAGTTGATGGTGTAGCCTGGAAAGCCATAGTAATGATTATTACATGGGTATGTCAATGGGGTTGGAAAGAACGTACAGCCCATATCCATGAGGGCGCCTCCACCAAGAGAGTAATTGAAGCGGATGTCGTCGGCCGAAAAGTACCCCCCAGAAAGCGTCAAATGAGTGTCGGTGCCTTTGACGGGACCAAGCTCGCCACTTTCGATAATTTCGCGCACACGGTGTGCAACAGGATGGAAACGATAGTGGAAAGCCTCGAGGAGAACAAGGTTTTTCTGCTCGGCGAGATCGAACATAGCACGAGTCTCCTCTGCGGTATTTGCAGCAGGTTTCTCCAAGAGGACGTGTTTACCGGCCGCAAGCGCTTTCATTGTCCACTCGTAATGAAGGCCATTGGGCAAAGGGTTGTAGATGCAATCAATTTCTGGGTCGGCCAGTAATTCCTCGTAGCTATTGTAGACTTTCTTGATCCCATGTGTCTTGGCATATGCAGCGGCCTTCTCTTTATTCCGGGCAGCAACACCGAATACGACAGCCTCTGGGTGGCTTTTCACGGGTTTGATTAGAGCATCAGGTGCGATGTTGGCTGCACCAAGGATGCCAAACTTAAGCGGCTTGGTGTTTGCGTCTGGCTTTGCTTCGGGTGGGTTGAATATCTGTTCATGCCAGTGGTCAGATTGCTCGGCCGTTGTTGGAGCAAACAAAAACGTACCGTCCGAACTCTCGAGATTAGGCCGAACACAGAAGTCATCGTCTGAATCGTGAACCCATACCTTGGTCGACAGTCTATTATATATAGCTTGTGCTGATTGAGTTGTTTTTCCCATGCTTCCGTTCGATTTCCCAGCCTTCTGTCGACGGAATGACTGTCCAAAAGATCCGCATGATCAGACGGAATGTCGATGCTTTGCCGCCATTGAATAGTGGTTGTTGATCTATAGCTGGAGACGGCATTGGCCCTCCCTTTGAGAGGAACATTAATCGTTCAGAACAAGAATCTTGAATGAAGGTAAGTAAGTAAGATTAGTCTCGCTTGTCAAGATTGATGCATTGGTGATTGCCGTGTCCTTTGCCGCACACGTCATCCACACGGCAGGATCGGCTGATCCGACTCACCAAGCTACCCACACTTTACTTTCGTCACTCATCACCTTGCTTTGCAAGGTCCCTGGCCCGTCTATACTTGCCAATCATGATGATAGTTTGATCAAGCTGATTGCAAGCAGCAACAAACTAACCCCGAAGGCCAAAGAGCCCAAACCTCCGTAGAAAGCTCGGCGAAACTACGCACAGCCTCTGATGTCGGTCTTGATCGATGATCCGCTTCGTAACCGTGATTTTCATTTTTTTTTTTTTTTTTTTTTTTTTTTTTTCTGCATTTATATACCGCAACAAGTACACTAACTACTAAGACGCGGTGGCCGGGACGCCGGTTCCGTCTGGCCGCTCGGTGGTGGTGTGTGCCGGGTTTGTGTTAAGTGCCGTGTCGACCAGAGGGACGGAGACAGAGACAGAGACGGAGACGGAGTCGAAGTCGGAAACGGAATCAAAGTCGTAGAGCACTTGGGGGCGGAAACACCACAGAAGGATGTTTGGGTGACCGGGGCTTCCAGTTGACCAAGACAAGACAAGAAGGGAAGAGCGGAGTCGAGACGACGCTGGGAGATAGAGACCAGCAACGTTAATTTACAAACTGAAGTACGTGATAATACATCAAAGTATTTATAGTACGAGAAGTAACGGAAACGGAATAAGGTATAACAAAGTAAGTAACAAGATTAGAACAAAGTCAAGTAAAGTAGAAGAGGAGTTGCATACGAGGAACAAGGCATAGATGATTGCATAGATCATAAGTCGGGGTAATTGGAAACGCTCAGTAAATCTTTATTGCGTAAAAACCAAATACCGGAGACGGATATCGGAGACGGATGCCGGAGTCGGCACGGATATAACAGTATCCCCCTCTTGCGTTTCTTGCCCACAAGAAACAGGAGCAATGGTCGTAGAGGTAGGAGTCGGAATCGAAATGTGTCGGAGTCAGAGTTGGACTTGTGAAAATTTTGAGTCGAAAGCCGGAGAGGCCGAGATCACCGAGGAAGCCGGTGAGAACGTGATAATAGCAAGGAGGACGAAAAAGGAAAGGGGTGACAAGAAGCACGTCACCGATTGACATCAATCTCTCTAACTTCTCCTCTTCCCACCATGCCACCTAAACGCCAAAACGCCAAAAACACGAAGAAGACCAAGAACCTGTACACCAACGTGGTGGAGCAGGTCGAGGAGTTGTCGGAGACGGAGAGGGTCGGTGGCTGGTGGGTTGGGGGACAGACAGAGACCCCTTGGCTGACGCGTTACCGTCGGGTAGCAACCGACGCGTAGACATGCGGAGGGAGTTGGAGGAGTTGGAGCGGAGAGCGGAGAGGCTGCGTGCTGAGCTCGCGGAGATGGCTCCAAGGGCACCGTCACCGGGTGGTCGGTCGGAGTCGTACGATCCCGACGACCCGGTTGACAACGAGCCAATCAACGAAGAGGAGTCCGAACACGGTTCCGTCATAGCCCCATTGGCAGTGGTTCCGGACGATGAAGCGGAGCTCATCGAACGAGCGGCCGAGTATCATCGGAGCCGCGCCGAGCAGCAGCGAGCCAGGGTGCTCAAGGAACAAGAGGAGGAGGCCGAGGCCAAGCGGAAAGAAGCAGAAAAGGCCGAGCGCAAGGCCGATGAGCAGAGGCGAAAGGCCGAGTTGGCCAGAGCGCGGTCAGGGCTCGCCGGGAACGCGGACTCGCACCGCTGACCCTTGCCGAGACGGCCGAGGCAAATGCCCGGGTTGGCCGCCGGGTCGTCAACGACGTTGAGTCATCCGCGGAGCCCGAGCCGGCTGATGTAGCCGAAGAACCCAAGAAGGCGGGAAGACCAAAACGCCGAGAGCGCCGATAAGGCCCAGGCTGCCAAGTCCGATGCGGGAGGCGATGAAGAAGGCGAAAGTAAGTGCAAAGATTTTGATTTGAGTTAAACACCTAACCCGATTTGGCAGAGAAATGTCGCAAATGCATCAGGTCGGGGAAAGACTGCGTGGGGGTCGAGCCCAAACCCAATACGACTTGGCACGGGAGGCTGTCTTGCGAGAATTGCCGCAAGCTCAAGATCCGCTGCGAGGACGGAAACCCGCCCCTGCGATTCCGCAAAGACGAGAAGGAAGCGGGGATGGTCAAAGAGAAGGGCAAGAAGAAGATTGCGGGGCCACGGATCGTGGTGCCCAGAGTGGTTGCGAAGAAGGCTCCTGCGGAGACGTCCAGCGGAGACGCCAGCGGAAACACCAGCGGAGTCGTCCAGGCCTGATGCTCAGCAACGCGGGGGTTGCCGCCACAATCGGCAATCTGCTGATGCGTCAGCGAACTGATCACCGGCAACTCAACCGCGTGATCATGGGTTTACAAAACCTTGGTCGCGAGCTGCGATTCAATGTTGGCGCAATCAATTCGCGACCACCACACCCGAACAGCTGGACGAACGCATCCAGGGGATCGACAAGACCCTGCAACACTGGGACGTGTTCATTCAGCGGGAAGGTCAGTTGTGCCGAGACGCGGTGATGAGTCGGAGTCGGAGGACGAGAGAGGTGAGCCATACGAGGAGGAACAGGAGGAGGTTGAAGAAGAGGATGCAATGGATGTCGACGAGGAGCCCCCGGCGAGGGTTGACAAAGGGAAAGGAAGAGCCGAGTAGCGGAGACGGAGACGCCTCGGAGACGGAATCGAGAAAACGACGAAGATTAGAGTCGTTAATGTAAAATAGAATATAATTTTCCTTATCTCGCAATCCGGTGTGACGTTAATCCAGTTTGGGTTTGTTGGGGTATTGACGATGGAAGGATTCGATATACTCTTCAGCTTCCAAGTCAGGTGCACCAACCCAAGTGAATTGTTCATCAGTGTTTTCGTAACCAAGCCATTCGACCAGGTAGCGGAGTCGAGCCGGACCCTTGAAACGGCGATCAATCTTGGAGTCAACAATCTGTTTGATTTCGAAGTGTTCTTCTCCATCGACTTCAATTGCCGCAGGTGGTGGCTCTTCACGACCAGGGAATTTGTTGGGTGTGTGGATTTCGATTTGGGAAACGTGAAAGACGGGATGAACTTGAGAAAGGGATTTCGGGAGACGGACTTGATAGGACGCAGCACTGGGCTTTCCGATGATCTCGAAGGGACCAAAATGCGTTTCCGAGAACTTCGAGTCGGACGCTTGGTCTTGATGTACTTGGTCGAGATAAAGACTTCATCACCAATAGACGGAGACGGATCCGGAATGCGTTTCCGGTCCGCAGTCTCTTTGTATTGCTCCTGAGCGTACTTGATCTGTTCCTTGAGGAACTCGTGCAGCTCTTGGAGATCGACGACGTAGTCCTTAGCATAAACATTAGCCACATCACGCTCTGGATGAATCGTAATAGAGGGATCGTAGCCTTTGTTCGCGAAGAAGGGTGATATGCCAGTAGAAGCGTTAGGAGCATTATTGAGTGCGAACTCTGCGATCGGCAGTAACTCGTGCCAATCATCCTGTTGGTAAGAACAATAGATGCGAATATATTGCTCAACAGTTTGGTTCATGCGCTCCGTTTGCCCATCAGCAGAAGGATGATAACCCGAAGTGTAATGGAGTTCCATGTTGAGTAGTTCTCCAAGGGAACGGAAGAAAGAGGACACGAATTCCTTTCCGCGGTCAGAAGTGACGTGGGATGGGACTCCGTGTTTCGAGAAGACGTGAATGAGGAAAAGTCGAGCGAGCTCCGGAGACGAAATGTGAGTGTCGCACGGAATCAAAATGACCTGTTTGGAGGCACGATCAACGATGACTAGAATGGTATCGAATTCACCGGATGTGGGGAGCTGCTCAATGAAGTCCATAGAGATAGAATCCCAGGGACGGAGAGGAACGGGGAGAGGCTTTAGCAGACCATAAGGTCGATGCCTTGGCTTCTTGTTGCGCTTGCATGTGATACAAGATGCACAGTAGTCCTTGACGAAGGTTCTGAGTTCTGGCCAAGTGTATTCGCGTCGGACAAGAGCGAGAGTACGATTTTGGCCAAAGTGACCGGAGAGGATATGGTCGTGATGGTGTCGGAGTACAGTAAGTCGCAACTCCGGAGACGTACCGGAGACGAGTGGTACCCAGATTCGATCGTCATAGCGTAAGAGACCAGTGTCATCAAGTTTCCAGCGCGTTGAGTTGCCAGATTTCGCGGCGGAAAGGCCGGAGACGGCAGCGGGATCGTCATTGATGTGAGCGCGGATATCGTCGTGAAGCTTCTTGACATCCAGAATGACGGAGGCGCGAAGCACAGGTTCTTCAAGGAAGGTAGCGCGGAGAGAGGCGTTGAGTTGTTCAGACGTGAAAATAGGGCGAAAATTTTGCGGATTCAATTTTCCATAGGACTTATCCCCCTCTTTTGGGTAGACGTCCCATCGTCTAGTTAACGCATCAGGCTTACCCCCAAGTTTACCTGGGCGGAATCGGATTGTCATGTTGAAACGACAAAGATACTCGGACCAGCGGACCTGGCGCCGAGTTAGAACCTTGGTAGTAGAGAAATACTCAAGGTTCTTGTGATCAGTGACCACATCGACCGGAATCGGGGCGCCTTCAAGATATTGACGCCAGTGAGTAAACGCATCGAAGATAGCGAGTAATTCCTTATCGTGTGTGTCATAGTTGAGCTCTGATGGCCCCAGAGAGCGACTCCGGAAAGCCACAGGATGGATTTCACCATCATCGCCGGAGACGGAAAGGATAGCGGCGATAGCATAGTC